GAACATCATGTGTGCACTTGCGCCCCCCCCCCCCCACACCAAACAAAATCATGTCATCCATCTGCGGCGTCTAATGAAGCCGTGATATCTTGGTACGAGTGCATTGGCACCTAACTGGAAACGGTTTTCCTATTATATGAATGCTCTTGATGTCGAGTTTGAGTTTCCAAATGTTCTAAGTGGGATCCGCTAGCTGTGTCCCTGACGCAGAACTGCTCTTTGACTTTGGTCTGTAATCAAAATGTTCACGTCACTTGGGAAATAGGCCTTTTTCAATTTGCTTTGGAACGACTTGAGTTTTTGCAGGCCTAAATTATTCAATAAGCCGGCCAAATGAAAAATGTGAACCGATCTTGTGTGTTGTGCATCAGCACGCGGCTGATGTGGCTCAGCATGGAGGTTAACGGGGAATCATTTGGACTTTCACTCCTGTCGGCTGATGATGTCTGTTGTCTGTCATTCCTCTTGTTATACTGTCTTACAGCTAATGTGTATGAAAGTGCGGTTATATTTATGAAATAAATACATTTTTAAGCAAGAGCAGTTTTCTTGTTTGGTTGACCACAAAGGGACCTGTCAAAGCCAGCCAGCCTGACGCTGTGCATGAAACCTCCCCTCAGAGGTGTTAGGAGTATTGATGTTACTCAAGTAGAAATATCAACTGCAGCTATTTACTTAAGTATAAAAGTAATGGTTTTAAAACCACCAAGTATAAACTGAATACAAGGAGGGGGGAAAAGTATTGAAGCAAAAGGCACACATTTTGATACGTTATATGTGCCCTGGTAGTCAAAACACGGGTTTCTTATTAATCACTCATTCGTACAATAATAATGAATCAGATGAATCAAACCCAAAGTTTTTGACATGACCTTGAAGACAAACCCTTGGGCCGCATTACGGGGACAAATTGGGTACAACCCCAAATTCCACCCCAAACGTTTTGAAAAAGTCCATAATAGTGACAATCTTGTATTAAAATGTTCTATTGAAGGCTACCCATTTCAGCGACAAACACGACCGTGAAAAAACGATCACATCTAGTCGGCCTACAAATGCAAATACAGTGCAGTACATTTAAGTGACGTTTTGACTCCTGCGCATTCAAAGGTAGTGTGTAGAATGTAGTGCCATCTAGCGGTGAACTCATAGAATGCCACGACCTCAGCTCGAAGCGTGTCTATTTTGAAGCTAGCAATATTTAGGAATTTCGGGGTAGGTTAAGCAACAGATGGGATTTTTTTTCCCTGAAACGTCATAGCTATAAATTACGACGCATGGTAACATCCGTATAATGCTCAGCTTTTATTTATAAGATTTAAAAACAAACAAAAATATCTCAGAAACATTATGTGCTAGGAAAAAAAATACAGATATTTTTAAATCAATACGTTTATGGACACAAAGCCATCTCTGATTCAAAGTTGACCATGTGATTCAAACACGAGACCAGAGGACAAAGATTTGCATATTAGTAAATAAGTAACAGTAACAGATGAGTCGATTTGCACTTTTTGCTTTTAAAAATCACCTAACACGAGCTACAAACTTCAAAACTTTCTGGAGTGCAGGGATATTGTTCTAATTGAGCAAGCACTTTCATATAAGAGTAAAAACAATTTGTTGAGGAGTGTGGGGATTATTTGACAAAGTTCATTAGCATTCACAGAATAGATTTCAAATATTTCATGATCAATGAAGCCTTTTAAAGCAATGTACACACCGGCATGTGGGATGTC